GGACGAGGTTGCAAGGGACATTATCCCTGGACGGCTTCACCCAGATCCTTTGCCCAGTGGGGAGAATATTGGAAACTCAAGAGGGGAGTGCACAATGGTTTCCAGTGGAGGAGGCTCCGAGGACGATGATGAGTTGGGGGACAGTGAGGACGAGGGAGCCCGTGAAGAGACCGGAGGTGATAAGAGTGGAGACAGCAATGGAGAGGCCTCGGACGAGGGGGACAGTGAAGATGACCACACTCGTACACCGCAGACTATGACATATTCCTCTCCCCTCATGCACAGACGTACTTCTCCCATTCACGCACCCTCCACATCTCATGTACGACAAGGTCAAACCTCTGGTGCGAGCCTCACGAGAGACGAGGTGGAAGAACTATTGCTCGATCAAAGAACGCTCATCGAAATTTGGCTACGCACAGTGAAGCTTGAGATAATGCAGCACGTGACCGATGAATTTGTGAAGGTCAGAGACTTCATTTCTACCCTCGTCCCCCCAGCTCTCTCTAGAAGTACTCCACCTACGGCTCAGGCGGCGAAGGAGCCCACAGTTTTGGCTACTTCAGTGCATGGTATGTGTACTGCATTTAAATTGTTATCTACTATATGTTACTTATGTTTGGTGACATTGAGTACACATGGGATTTGTGACTTAGACGAAAATGGAGGCGACACCGACCCTGTCCCGGAATGTGCGGACCCGCAAGGTATGTGCATCAATTACTATGGATACATTTTCATGTCTTCTTTACTATTTGATACTAGAAAATACGTAACCCCCTTACATTTTTGCAATTGTTGTTTTGTAGTGCATGGAAGAGGCTTCTCCCCATTTTCGGTCGATCATGACGAAGATATGGACAACGAAATGCAAGAGCGGAACGGTGCGTGTCTTAAGTTCCGCATAATATTTGATTTCATACATAGGTCTCACCTCATTCGAAAGTGTGTATACTGTAAACCCTGAACGACACGCGATTTCTAATATTGGGTATGTTGGTACTCATGCGTAGATGGAGACGGCATGGAATCCGAACCAGAACTGAACGGTGACGACGGCGACGTAGCTTCCGGTGGTTTGGGGAAACGTGAGGACGACGGTGTTGCGTCCCCTACTGGCATAGCAGAGGCGGACGGTACGTACACTACGGTGGTTTACTTCTATTTCACTAGTTAGAGTAACGTGTAATATTTGGATCATTTACTTACGTATGACCTCATGCACTAGTATGTATTCTCGACTGTTTGAAGTATACAGTGTTACTAATATTTCGTCGCATGTTAATTTCATACTAGGTGGACGCGGCATGGATTCCGAACTAGAAAAGAACAGTCAGGATGATGAAGTGTCTTCCAATGGTTCGGGGAACCTCTTGGACAAAGGTGTTGCGTCCGCTAGTGGCGTAGCGGAGGTGGATGGTAAGTACATTGTGGTGGAGAACTCATGATGTCACCCTAACCCAAATTCGCGATGCAAATGGATGAAGTGCTAATTAAAGTGGAATTGTTTTGTAGGCGGTGCGACAAACATGTCGGGGGAGGCCAGCCTACCCGTGCAATGCAATGACCCACCCACCACAAAGAAGCGACGATCAACACGCATCCGAGGTCCTGCTGTATCTACAAAGACTCCGTACACCAGGGGAAGGGCGAAGAGAGTGAAGAAATGAGGTATTTTTGGCGTAATTTGACATTATTTCAAGCTTGTGTGGAGTTCGTCTTTGCGTAGTCGTATGTTTACGTTAATCTAAAGGAGCATGTCGAATATTATAGGAATATTCTCATAACTGTTCATATCACATGCAATTGAAACATAATATTGTCGAATTTTGTCATGTTCAGTCTATAAAGGAGCATTTCGAAGCCATTTGGGTCCATTTTTGCAATTAAATGGGTTCGGTTCGGTTATATTTACCCCATTTTCTATCCGGTTAGGTTGGATTATGGGTTATCCCTTTAACCCAACCCGAAGCCGACCAACCCAACCCTATACAAAAGTTAATTTTATAAATGTGTAGAAATTATAAAACGAGTATAAGGTCCCTCCCTTTTCCCTGACCCTTCCCATTCCCGTTTTCCATTTCCCCCTCAGAGAAAACCTAGTCTCCTCCAATCCATCACGAAGCCGATAGTCGCCCTTTATATTGTTGATTCTAACCCTGAGTATTTATCACTCTTTCGGTGTTTTGATATTTGATATTGTGGGGAGAAAATGCTGAAAATCTCAGCTTTCTGCAAACGAAGGTGAGAAATTTTGTTCCGCCTCTGTCGCTGTCGGTATCCGACTTCAATCCCCCACCGTCCTATGCTACCATGTAGGTGAGTACTTTTCTTTAACCTAGATTCACTTCCTTTATCCTTAATATCTGATATAGTTGAAGTTTTTTAAGAATTGATTATGCTTTGTTTCTTTAGTATGTTTGTGCTTTTATTGGTATTCGTAGTTCCATTTCAATTGTATGATTCTTGGAAGACAATTTTCTAAGTATTCATATTTGTATATGAAAATCACTGGATTGGATGTTGTGCTGTTGATTGCTTCTGAATTGGGTTGGATGACCGAACGAGATGAGTTTCGTGGGTTAATGTTGCATTGAAGTGACAATAAGTTGACTGGGAATGTATCTATATATTTCATAAGGCTTGTCAAATTTAGCACTCCAATTTTAAGTAACAAAGGTTAGAAGTTTAAATTTTAGCTTCCACTCTTTGCTTTGGATTATGGATTTCATTATACTTCAACATTGCAGTCTTGTGGAGTACTTTTTAGTTTACTGATGTTTTTCTTCTTTATGTATGTAAGAGCACCATCGTGTCGTTATTTGTTCAGTTGAGTGTTCTTGTCGGAAGTGCTGTATATTTGCGTTTACCAAATTAACTTCCATGATAACTTT